ATTTCCGAAATAGAAAATAAGAGATATGTAGTCGTTGCTAATCCTTTGGGTACATTCGAATTATATATATCCTCAAAAGCGTGTCAATCTAATCGATTGACACTTTATCTTAATCGATTAGATTTAGTTAAAAAATATTTTTATGGCTTTTGAAATGTTTCCACCACTTCATAAGCAACTTCTATATATTTCTTCAAAGCATTTTCTTTGTAGAAACATTTTATAAAAATGTTTTAAGTGTGTGTGTGCTTATACTTCTATAAAGACAATTTTTTTTTACAAAGGTTTCACTCACTACTAAATTGGGGTGATTTCCCTAAACCTGTGTCTAATGTATTTATTATGTTGACACTTTGCTTGAGATCTCTTTTAGAGACTTGTGATGTATTCTCTGTTTGTTTGCCTTCATCTGAGATTTTGTTGATGGAGTTTTTTCCATGTCTAAAACTTTGTCAATCATTTATCAACTGAGACTTTGTCAATCAACATCAATTCTTCTCGCTTGCATGTTAACTTTCTTGGGTATATTGGTTGGCTTTCTAAATTGTTGTATCTTTTACTATCCTGAATCTTATATGTTATATTCTTTTACAATTGTTATCATATTGTATTCTTGTCATTTGAATATCCATTGTGATCTTTATAGTTGTCATCATCAAAATGTCATACGCCAAATTTGTCCGTCCTTAGTGCTACCGTCAAATTTATTTTTGAACTTAGATTTTAAAATTCCTTTGGTTTAATTACATTAATATTTTGAAATTTTATAAATATTCGTTCTCAAGTTCAGTTAAAAATATAATAATTTATTTTAAATTATTTGTATTTTTAAATATAAAATACTTGCTCGTCTTCATGTATTTTCAATTGACTTTTTATTTCGAATAAGTAACATAGCACAATTGGTAAAAATGAAGTTTGCAAATATGAGGTTGCGGATTTGAATCTCTTATGGTGCACTTTTTAACATTTTTTCTATTTCTTTTTGTTACTAATTTTCTTTCTTTTTTTAGAAATCGGGCTTAGGCTTTTCATACATTTTAAATAACTTATTCTCTAAGTTTTTTCTAACCTAATTCAAGTCTATAAATATGACTCTTATTTGTCCTAAAAAATCATCCACAATATTCAGAAACACACAATTCATCAACAATCCACAATATCCACAATTTGTCACAATTTTACACTCACACAACTGTAAATTTTTTGCAATTTCTTTTCAAAGTTTCTTTTCAAAAAACTATTTGTGGGTTTTTATTTTGGCCTATGATTCAAATATGAGGCCCATTTTATCTTCAATTTTAATTTGTTTCCAATCGGGAGACGATTTTTTGATGGATATATTTTTAAATTTTTTTTCTAAATGTTAGACATACAACCCATGAATGCACCATCTTTTTTTTTTTTTCTTTTCTCATTGTTTCAAATTTGCACATAAAACGTATAATAACAGTATCCCCATCAGGTTCAATTTTCATAACTTCGCTATTACTTAGCTTATTTTACATTAGCTATTTCCATCACTTTTTTTTACAAGAATTCATCATCATCACCTATATCTTTTGTAAACTAAATTCTAAATTACAAATTTTGCAGAAATCTAAACAAACTTTGTTTTACTCAAAGAACATAAACATGATCAAGTTCATTGTCATTTAGTCACCATCAATCTTCCCAAAACAATTTCAAACCAATGCTATCACCCTTATTCAATCTTCCTCACTAACAAATCTTTGCCTTCATCATGAAACATAAACTTCTCCAATGATGCTATCACAAAATCACCAATAATATACATAAAGATCGTTGCTGCTGTTGTGTTGTTCCTTCCATTGTTGTTGTTGTTTTTCTCAGGTAATGGTAAAAACGCCCATCGTCGAAACCAGTCAACGGCAGTCCTTCCGCCACAAACGGCTACACAACCACCACGATCTACTCACGTCAGCGACGAACAGAACCGACGGACCACACCAGAACCCTCGCTCTGCACCCCGTGTCCCCGAAGCACCGCGATGCACCCACGCACCATCATTCACCACACCTCCACGTTTGAACCAGATCTACGCCCGTGACGTCGCTCGGATTCACGACACACCTACGACTGATGCCTCTCCCTTACCGTTCGACCATGCTCGCAGCAAGCGCAAGCCTCCGTCCATGGCCGAAGCTCTTCCGCCGCACACCCGGCTAACCGACGGACTCCACCACTGTGATGACGAAACTTTCGGATTCGACTTCGTCAAAAGCGTGTCCACCATCACCGGGTCATCGTATTTTTCTTCTTTCTTTTTTTGTTTGTTTCGCGTTGGAAGTGTTTCATATGGAAGTAGTAAAAGAAGAAAGGTGGAAAGAAGAGAGTACAAGTTCTTTTCCTCAGATAAAGAAAGTGGTGTAATGAGAGAGACGTAAAGTCTCACCGGGTTACTTTGTTGTTTTTATGTTTTATTTTATTTATTTATTTATTTTTAAAACAAGCAAAATATTCAATTAGTAATGGTGGACTCAAGAGGCTTTGGAAAGCAAACTTTCAATTGCTTTGCATGCTAGGGGCGGGGCCTATCTTCAATACAGGTTCTCTTTTTACTTTTTTTTTAAAAATTAATTTATTCAAGTGTTATTTTATAAATTTAATTTGGGATAGAATTAAGGATTAGATATTGGATTGGGCTTCAATTCATTCTTTTGACACTTCACTTAGGCTCACCCTAAGTTATGATTTACACCCTTAGTTTTCTAATGTAATGATAATTAAATAATCAATTTAACTATTAAGTTTTAAGTTTTTTTTTTAATCTGCAAAAATATACATAAAAATGACATGTTTTTTTAGGTTGTTATTACTAGAATAATGAAATTAATTTGTAAATAATCTAAGTCTAATTTCCTGAATAATTCAAGTAATTAACTTGTAGATAGTTCGAATCCTAAAGTCAAATACTTTTCACTATCAAAATTGATTTAATATTTTACATCAAAATATTAAGACCCATGCAATTCCAAATATTTCATCCGCGAGCGACACGTGGCCAATATCTGACCACGTAATAAGGAAGGCTATATCAGACTCCCTCCATATTCTTTATGATGAGCAACACGTGGCAAATATCCAGACTCCCGTGCTCTGTGTCTTACCATACTCACTAAATCAAATTTCAAAACAACTAACCAACAACTAATCATTTTTCTACTAACATAATCAAAACCTCAAGAATTAAGGAGAATTTCTTTCGAAATTAACTGCAAACCACGTCTGCGCTCACTCAATTTTCAACCCAGACAAGGTTCAAGGATAATTTGAAAGTGATTCTACGTAATCGTATAAAAAACACTAACCAAACACCTACGAACTACGAATTGGGACTCTGATTCCTCATAAGAGGATACGTAGGCATAAGATTAAAATCGTAACGAGTTCCCCTAATAATAATTAAAACCCTTTTCCTAAAAATTGCGCTTCTAAACCCGATATCTTTGTGAACAAGGTAGATGATGGGTGCCTAACACCTTCCCTTCATCTAGAACCGAGTAAACAATCTAGAATCTCTAACTTATAGGGTTATTCCTTTATATTCCCTTTCTTAGGATAAAAATTAAGGGTGACGACTCTGAATTTAAAACCAGTTACAACAACTGACGGCTCTGCTGGGGACTCAACCCTAGGTTTAGAAGCCTTGTTTTTTGGTTTTAGGGTTCTTCTTATTTTTTTGGGTTTTTATATTTATTTATTTAACTATTTGTTTATTCATTTATTTACCTATTGTTATTTTATCATATTATTATATCTATGGTGGGATTTAAATTTTGCACAAAATATTTTCAAAAGCCCTTAGAAAGAAGGTTTGCCTATTAGCCAAGAGGATACATCATCCCTATGAGTTTATGTAACGACTTCGCCTAGAGTCGGTGGAATTCCACAAAAGGAATACGTCTCAAGAGACATCCTATTGGGAAGTAGGACTTTGGAATGACACCTAAGACTCTTTGTATAACCTTCAAACCAAAATCTCATGATGAGACCTTTCATGACTTAGAGATGAAAGTTTCGGTCTGCAAAGAGGCTCTACTTAAGAGAGGCCTTTGTGCCTTTCTCTATAATATTATTTATGATACCCTTAAGGAAATCACCTTATGGGGAGGGTAGAATATCTGTAGGCCAATACTAGGAACCTACCAACTAAGAATACCTTTCACAAATCCCACTATAATCCATAAACCCACAAGGGTTATCTTTTCTTTCAATACTATCTTTAGCCCGTAGGGCTCCCGTCTTTCTGATATAACCCTTAGCCAGTAGGGATTTTCTTTTGAAAATCTTAATCCCTGGCCTGTAGGGATTACCTTTCGTCTGACATTATCCTTATAGCTCTTATAGAATCTTGTTCGTCTTCTCACGAAGGACATCCTCACTAATGTATTCCATGTGGCCTATATCAGGCCATGGGATCTGGTGACTGTTGACTGGTCACCATGTGCTCTCTTCCACGCCATTCCCTCAAATCCAGCCTTTATCTCAACTGCCCATTGGTCTATCACAATTCCTAGCCTGTAAGAGTACCCGTCCCTCTGTTATAATCCCTAGCCTGTAGGGATTATTCTTCGTCTTTCTTTATCCTTAAGGAGTTTCTGTCTGTCTCAATCTCTGAGTCAGTGTAGGACATCATCATTTTCATCTACCATTAAACTTGTATAGGGCATACCTACCTCTACCCTCATACTAAGTCCATGTCACATTGCATATTATTGTACCCCAAAATTTTCCCTCTCTTTTCTCAAGATATTTCTCACAAGATCTTCAATAGCTCAAGCGTGTACAAGTGTTGACTAGGTCAAACCACCTCCTAAACATTGATGCCTTAAATTAGGGTTTTGATTTTCATAAGGACAATTGGAATTGTAATGCCTCAAACGACTTTCATAGATCATTATAAACCTCCATGAATACTCATGTCAAGTTTCAAGTCTTGAATCACAATTTTGCTCAACCAATTGCTCAGATGACTGAAAATCAGCTATATTGGATAAAAAGTCAACTGTAGTCAACCTACAGTCAAACTTCAAGATTTTTGACCAATATCAATATTTTGAAGTCATATGTGTCAATTGATCAAGTTTGGATCACAATTCCCCAAGAAAAATGTTCAAATCATCAAATAGGCAAAATGGTCAAATTAGGGTTTTGATTGAGAAGGCTTGATTTTTGATTTTTGACCTAATACATGGCTTATTGGTTTTAAACGTGATCTAAAGGATTCAAGTACACCATTTTGACCTAATTACATGACTCAATTCACCTCTCAATATCAATTGATTGATAGTTGAAATTCAGTCAACTGAGGAAAAGTCAACTGATGCATTAAAAGTCAAACTTTGATTTTTTGATCAACATCGAATTTCAAAGATCAAAATTCATCAAGACATTCAAAAATATGAAGCTTGATCATTAATAAATCAAGAAAGTCAAAAGTCTTTGAAAAAGTCAAAGCTTTCAAAACTTAGAAAATTTTCTGTGTTTTAAGTCTTATTTTTTCATGACTTCATGCCAACTTTTCACCAAGATGCAAGATGATTCAAAGAAAACTTCCAACATGAAAGTTGTATATCTTGATGAGATATACAAATTTTCTTTACTGATCAAGTCCTAGAAATTCTTGGATTTTTGATTATGAATCCATAAAGTCATGCTTTTTTTCTTAAACACTTGGTGAAATTTTGACCTAGTTTAGGCAGATTTTTGACCTAACTTCTTGGCAAATTTTCACCAAGCTCCAAGAGTATTTTGTCAAAATGACCAACATGAAAGTTGTAGTTAATGTTCCAAGCTTTTCAAAATGTCCAAGAACTCAATGAGATCATTCTTTATCTAGGAGAATCGAAGAGATGAAGTTAGGGTTTCAAACATGAATTACAAGTCAATTTTATGATGAACGCGTGACCAAATCCATAAGACATGCTACATAATCTTGCTTTGCAGGCTTATAACTTGAAAATCACTCCTTAATTTAATATTTACACAACTGATTGATCAATTTTCCAATTGATTCAAGCATTGTCCAAAGCAATTTGCCATTTTAGGTAGAAAGTTACCATTCCATTCTTATAAAGCAAAGCTTTATGCAATGTCAACCCTTCTTGAGCCTCTCAATGGCTACTTCTGCATACACTCAACCTAGAAACTCAGAAGAGGCATGTTTAAAGTGATTCAACCACCCTACAAGCTTTGTACTTTGCCTTGAAATCATATTTGTCAAGCTTGCTTCAAAAACAAGTCAAATGAATACAACATGTGATTTTTGAATTATGACCACCTCAAGCCTTCAAACCTTCTCCTATAAATTAGGACACTTTTATGCAACTGAGGACACTAATTAACAAGCCTTCAAACTCACTCAAACTCTCCCAAACTCAGGTTGCACACAAAACTCCATTTTTATGCAGAAACTGATCAATAACTTCCATCTCTCAAACCACTCGTGCGTTTCCTTTCCAAATCATCTCAAAAGACTCCTTACCTCAAATACAAGTCATCCCCACACCTGTTATAGTTCTGTAACACCATTTTCTTTATCCTCCATAACCAAAATCAGAAGCTTGCATATTGACTTCTACAAGAAGATTCATCCACTCTCAACACAAGCTAAGCACTGCATTAGCTTCCTAGAGGTCCAAGGAAGCTAACCTGATCATCACAACACCTTGAAGCAAGCTCATTTGCAAAACACAAATTCCATTTTTGAGGTAAGTTTTTTACTTTGGAAATATTCATATAGGCATTGTTAGCTTTCCATTTTCAAAGATAAAATATAGACATCATTGCCCTAAAGCTGAACATGTCCTTAGAATTCATTTATCTTGCTTGAGTGGTGAGAATTTTAGGTTTAAAATCTCTGAACAAGTTAGGTCAAAATTTGGTACCATTATAAATTCTCATTCATCTTTGATCTATAGTTTTATTTGTTTACATTTCTGGAATCATGATGAAATTTAGAGCAAGATTGATGTTTACATTTTTGCAAATGGTTGAGAGATGAAGAAGTTACAAGTTTTAAAAAATTATGCTGAAAGTCTGGCGCGAGGTTAAAGATGATACATGCCTAGGATTGGTTTTGTAATATATTGCATTGGTTTTATTTTAAACACCGGATGTATAGCCACCCCAGTGGTAGATAACGTGCGCGTAAGGTCTTTCCCCCTATGAGGTCCTGGGTTCGAACCCCAGGGACCTTTTGTTTTTATTTTCTAACATTTTTTGCTACATTTCTCTACAGCTAGTGCCTTGGGCCTCCCTTGGATTGGGCCATCACCATTTTAACTTCTCTCACCCCCATTTTGAAACAATATGCAGGCCCACCCTTTTATTTTGTCTTCCTTATTTTCTGATTACAAAAAATCACTCTTGGGCCTAAACACAA